GGCCAGATGTCTTTGGCTGAGGTCTTCTCTTCTGCTGTCGCTGCCGGTTGTGTTGCTGGTCCTGCTGTCTGTATTGGGATGGCTGAAAGGCGAACGATCTCTGTCTCTGATATGGAGTATACCTTTTCCGATGGAAGGGAGGAGTATACATGCCCAGAGTCTTGAGTGGGGTTCTAGAGTCTTTACCCGAATGAAGCACCTGATCAGTTTTGTCAGAAAAGAGATTCCGTCTGTCAAAGGGTAGGTCTTACTTTGGTCACAGAAGGTCTTTAGGAACTGCCGCCTGGTGTACCAACGAGGCCGTGCGCATGACCACGGATGTAGCTGTGGTACGCGCTGCGGTATCAGCCATGTCCAGAGCTATGTGAAGAGCTGTTCTGGAAGCTGTATAGCCCTCGTGGCCCACCGCTTTAAGGACCTCCCTTTTGCCCTCAGGTAGGTGGTCCAGTAGGGGCGCTAGTTTGGCATAGTTATCAAAGCTATGGTTAGCTAATAGCGCCGCATAATTTGCCATCCAGAGTGAAAGGGTAGCAGACGAGTAGACCTTTCGTCTGAAGAGGTCTAGCTGTTTCATGTCCCTGTCCGGGACACTCGGTCTTTGCTGCGGGCCCCTCGTTCTTTGTTGGGCCATATCGGCAACCAGAGAATTCGGTGGAGGATGAGAGAAAAGAAACTCCATCCCTTTCGCCAGAACGTAATATTTTTTGTCTGCCTTTTTGTTGGTGGCCGGTGCAGAAGCCGGCAGCTGCCATATGTCATCAACAATCTCCAGGATGGCATCATCCAATGGGAGAGCCACCTTCACCTGTTGTGAAGGATGAAGGTTTCTAAGCAAGTGGTGGGATTTCTGCTGAACTTCCGCAAGCTGTACTTTTTGTGATACCGCCACTCTTCTGAAAAGGTCTTGAAACTGACGAAGGTCGTCCGACAGAGATGTGTCTTCCTGAAATACAGCATCATCCGGAGAGGAAGAGGATTGGTCGGTAGGAGATTGATGTTGAGAGACATCCTCGGAGCCGCATTTGACGTCGGTGCCGGGAACGGCTTCAGTGCCGACAATGACTTAGGCGCCCGAATAGTTGTGGGCTGCGGTGCCGAGGTACTGCGGCTGGGCTTCGCCTTAGAGCCATGCACACCCGAGGTACCAGGTTTGTCCCCCACACTAACACACGTCGGGGGAAGGGAACGAGAAGGCGATGGTCTTTTCTTCGCCTTCTTTGGGGACGGCTCAGCTGAAGGAGCAGGGAGGGATCCGGGATTTGCTCCA